CTATAATAGGTTTAATAGGTAGTGTCCTTAAAGCTTTTTATTAGTTTAGTGCAGTCCAGTTTTCAGTCATACTATCAAGAAACTTTAATTCTACATTATACAAAAATATTTAACTTTTCTTCTTGATGATTAAAGGAAAATTTATTTCTGATTGTGTTTGGGGGGAGATTGAGTTTATCCTCAAAATGTACAACTTCTCAAACTATTTTCTGAGAGTCTACAATTTTAGTGTATAAAAATTGAAAATGTCATTAGGGGAAGAGCAGTGTAATGGACTATTACTGGTTTACAGCATATTCCTATCCTCTCATCCAGAAAATTAAATCTGATTACAGCTTGGATTAACATTTATGGCTATTGGGGAGAGGAAGATAGTATCTTAAACTCCATGAAATTGAACGAGATTATAGCGGTTATAGCTAATTTTGAAGACTCACTTATAAAGGGCAGATTTTTTATAATTGTTAGCTTTAAATGCATTCGATATTTTGTCTCTAATTGACTGAAATATACTAGAGATAATAACTGGATAAATTTAGTAGGCATTAAATGCAGTATTTGCTGTCTTGATTCCTAACATGTTAAAAGTGAAAGCAGTGTACATTCCTGGGTCTACGGCCATATTTGCAGTTTCTCTTAAATTTTCCTAAAAAAGCTTGAATTAAAGAAGATTGTAACATTTGGTTAGTATGCAGTTGTTATGCTTTTCACAGAAAATGAAGACAGTGTTTTTTTAATAATCAAGTTAAAGTGTCATGTCTTGACCCTTTAAGTGGAGTCACTGGTGTGACAGAGAAAAATAGGAAAATAATTTGGTGAGGGTGTGTGTGTGTGTGTGTGTGTGTGTGTATGTGTGTATACACATACTAGTTACTGATGCACAAATGAGCTCTCATACAACCACAGTACTTTTATGAATTATTTGCATTCTGTTGTAAAAGATCTGTCTACCACGTTTTCTAGGAACTTTGAGCCTAAGGCATAACTCAAGGTTTTGGAGCTTGTGTAAAATAATTTATAGCACCTTTCTAGTAAGTCTTGCCCAAACTCTTATTCTATTAATTAAATATCCTGTGGCAATCTGATATATCTTAAAGATTTAAAAGTATATTACAGTAGAAAACTACAAAACATGGACTATTGAAATTGAAGAATATTAGCCTTAAAAAAGAAAAAAAAAAGGCAAGACATTTTTGAGATCAAACTTTTTTTTTGCTGTGAAGACATAACTATCTAAGCATGCTCATGTTCTGGGCCTGAATGAGATTGTGCTGTTGGGAGTCTGTACTGTGAAACGTCTGTTTTAAATATGGAGAGTTGTCTTGTGGCCTCCAGAGGAAGGGGTGCACTTGTTCTGTGTGGGGTCAGGCTCTTGCATGGCCATGGTTCTGGGACAAGGGTAGTGGCCCATTACATTGGCATAATGTGAAGCTTTATTAGGCTTATGTGGCTAAGAGAAATACGGACTCTATCATACCATACATTTTGTTGGCAAGGTATTTTAAATATGGTTTTTGTTGTTGAAAGGTATTTCCCTAGGAAATGATTTTTAATTTTATAGTAATATATTACTTAAATTTGGAGAAAGTTGTGAGAAAGGATAAGGGGGGAAGAGGGTGCTGTGTACTACTATGTTCTTTATTTTCTGTCAGGGACAAGTCTTAGAGAAAAAGCTTGACATATGCCAGTAACTCTATTCTTCCTGCCAATTGCCTAAGCAAATTATGTTTCCTTTTTCCAAGGTTTCTCATCTGCAGACTTTTGTGTTTAAAGTTAGCTGTGTGGTGACACTGTATTTGGAGGTGAGGGTATGAATGTGAGAAGGTGTTTTGGAGCATTGGCAATTATAGCATTGGGTGGTGGATAAAGAAATAGATACATAAATATTAGACCGATGCACAGTTTTCCAGTGTATGTTATTTTCCATATAAAGATATAGAACATTTCATAAAATGTTCCCAGACCATTTAAAACACAGAAATGCAGCTGATGCAATGAAATACATAGAGTACTTGTAAAAACATACAGACACGCAAGTGGATTGCTGCCAGACAGAAAATTTAAAGGCGGTTTGCTTAACTGCGGGGTGCTAGGTTTTGTACATGTGCCATGCTGAAACTGTTAGTAAGGCGGGTGTTATGTTGCTTGAGAAAAGCAGATTGTATTTGGACCTTTTTAACTCAGATGTTTCCAATGTCGATATTTTGGTGACATTATGGCATAATGATCAACTCACTGTGAAAAAGGATTTCAACCTCCTGTATCAAATAGACATTTTAAAGAAATTCAAACAAATTATTTTTAGTTTTTGTGTTAATTTTTATAAAATGGCTTTCATAGTTTTATTAACTATGAGACTGGTTCTTTGAGCTAATTGAAAGGAACTTTATAGGTTGGATTTTGGTTTTAAAAAATTTGCCTTTTTAAAAAAAAAATATTGTTTTAGAAGAGTGTTAAGGACCCATGGAATTTGCTTTTGTAACTTTAGGTCCTTAAAGAAAGGAAGTAAAAGTTTTATGCTTGAATCATAGTAAATAAATTCATGTATTATCTTGGAACATGATTCTGTTAAAATCTGGGAATTTCACTCTAAGGTTAATCTTAGGACATTTGAAAGACTTAAGCTGGTGGTGGTTATTGCATTGTACACCATTGAGGCAATGTTTAGGGTAATATGGTTTGAGTGATCCTCATCTTTTTCTTTTTATCCGTGTTTCCTCCTCTTCTTCAATTCTGCTATGTTGTATATATGAATTAAATACATTTTAAAAGTGACAAGTTAATCATTAATGTAGTTGCTTAAAGAGATTTTATTTTAACCCTTTAATGTATAGCAAGAAATATATATTTTTAAATTAAAGAATATACCACATTTTGGTTTCTGATGTCCATCCCCTCACCAAGTGATTAAAAAAATAAAGTTTTTTATTTTATCCCATCTTTAATCACTTCTCGGCCTTTTGGCTAAGATCAAGTGTATTTTATCCCATCTTTATTTCCATTGGTATTTGTGGTTCTCAAGCACAACTACTACAAGAAAGGAGACATGATATTAAAGATTTATATATGAGTTATTTTTGTCTGAAGTTTTCTGGTTGGAGACTAAATGTTAACCACGTGACAATTGGAAGAAAATTAATACGCTTTAGATTAGTTTGTGGCTTTCCCAACCTCTGTTTTACTGTGTACCTCAGTGATTTAGAAGTACTTTTTTCTTCTTCTTTGTTTTTAAATCTATTTTTGGTCTTGGGAACAAATTTTAAATCCTAAAATACCACTTGTTCCACCCCACCCCATCAAGTCATTTTTGTGTTTTAGGGATTATAACCACTGCCCTCTTTTGAGCCTCCCCTCTACTTTCACCCCATCCTACCCCAAACACACTTTTAGAGGTCTGTTGGGCATTTGGCTGTCCCTTCATTACTTTGCTGGCTAATTCCTCCTTGTAGACCTACCTATTGCCATTATCGCTCTCTGACCTCCTGTGTTAAGAGGACAAGTCCTTGTGTGATTGTAGCCCTTCAGGCCAGAGAGAAACAGTGTATTCTTTGACCTACCAGTGCAGCCATGCACAGTACTGCAGGAGGAATTACACAAGAATTCTGTTAGTCATACTGTAGAAGTGCCAGTTCCCCCTTCTAGTATTTGAAGATGAAGGTAAAAAAAAAAATTGATCCTTAGTTTTTAAGTCAACCAGAAGATACTTCAAGAGCTGAAATGGTCTACAGATCCTTCAAGTATTTTTGCACCACCCAATTTGGGACTCTCTGCTCTTGATGTGATCTTTTAAATACTCTTGCGTTTGTTATTAGTTTTAGGTTTTGAAAAGTAATGTCCATTGACTTTAATGACAAAATAGGTATTTCTAGGATTTAAATATAGGCTGTGAATAGATCCTTAGTTTTTTCTCTTTTTGATTCTTCCCTGCAGAACAATTAACTGCATTTTGGTTGCGATTTGAAGGGTTTTAACTTTTACATGGATTCATTTTCACAGAGAAGTAAATTGGTGCTTTAAAACGTAGATATGAAAAGTGAGTAGTATCTATTGTGAACACGATGAGAAAGGATCCTCAACTATTGTGCTTTTTCATAAGGCTTTTGCATTGATACAGTTACTCAAATAGATATTATTCTGATACTCCCTTAATGTGTCTCTGAGGAACCAAATCTTTCTTTTATTGGAAAAGATTGAATGGTTTCCTAATCAATAGCAAATGGAGTGCTAATAGCTTTTAATTAGTACACTTCTATATTGACTTAAAGACAGTGGCATTGGATTATCTTGCAATTATGATTGAAGAATCAAGTGACCCTTTTAGTAACTCTATTTAAGCTGAATGTCATGAAAGGTGTTTTCACTTATGTATTTTCTAGTTTCTGAGCAAATTTAAATTTGTTTACACTGGTAAGCTAAAAGTATATTGTTTTGTTTGTTTTGAAGACTTTATCTAGTTTTATTTGTATTTTCAAGAGCTTTATTGTAAGAATTTTGGGAGGTATGTATTTTATTTTTAAAAGCAAGGAGTTTTGCATTTGTTCCTTGAAAGAATTCTCTCACCCTCACTGCCCTAACTTCCCCCTCCCCCACCTCAATCTGAAACTGGTGTTAAGATAAAGGTGGTTTATCATGCCTACATCTGTAGCTATGAAAAGGAGGCTTCTGATTAGAGAAGAAAAGTCAAGCAGTTTAAGACTCATTTTCTCTGGAAAAAATATATTGAGGGCAATTTGCAGCTGGTGAGGTTTTTGCATTAGGTAATAGTTTCAAGTTAACAGTAGCATCAGGTCTTTAAAATTTTTCTTTTTTATATTTCTGGAGGAGGGTAATGGGAGTGCCTTGCCGAGCCCTTCCTTGTGCTCATCAGCATAGCAGCCTCAGCTGCCCCCCTTGGATCCCCTGCCAGGGCTGCTATCATCTTCTGATCAAATATTAATGTGTGATCCTCTGCTTGCTCACTAATCCAAAGCCAATTAATATTATCTGTCAATTATTTACAG